AAACGCTCGGATGAGGTTTTCAGTCGTCGCTTTTCGGATTGCCAAAATCTCCACCCACTTCGAGAATATGCCCCGCACTTGGTATATCGTGGATTCCCTAAGAACTCTGCTTCTTTGCGATGTCGGCACGCACAGCTCCCAGGGGGTCGCATCTTCATCGTCCATCTGTGTCGATATTCGCCTGTAAAGCCTACCTTCTTCCACCACGTAATCTGGAAACTTCTCAGGGTCTTTTCTCACCTCCATCATTTTAGCCGTGAGCCATTTACAGTCGCCATTATCTTGCTGCAATATCATTGTTCCGAGCTGTTCGTCTTGTAGTTGTCGCGAGAGCGCTTCCGCCACCACGTTTAGTTTCCCTTTTCGGTACTGCACATCAAAAGTATACTGTTGGAGCTCCAGTGCCCACCTCGCAATCCGGCCTGATGGACTTTCTATCGCGTTCAGCCATTTCAACGCCAGATGGTCGGTGACTACCGTAAAGGTGTACCCTTCTAGGCAAGACCTCATCTTTCTTATTGGCCAAACTGTAGCCAGGCATTCCTTCTCAGCCTGAGAGTAGTTCATCTCCGCCTTATTCAGCCGTCGGCGCGCGTACGGTATCACTCGTTCCCCGTCTTCTAGTTCCTGAGTAAGGACTGCGCCGAGACCGAAATCACTTGCATCTGTTTGTAGCGTAAATTTTCTTGTGAAATTCGGGCAAGCTAACACCGGAGCTTGTGTGAGCGCGTTCTTTAGAGCCTTGAATGCCTCCTGCTGTTCCTCGGACCACTTCCACTTGCTGCCCTTCTTCAACATCGACGTTAGCGGATGTGAAATGCGCGAGAAATCGGGAACGAACCTCCTGTACCATTGAACTACTCCCAGGAAACGCCGTAGTTCTCGTAGGTTGCTAGGCGGTGTTAGCTCTTTGATGGCCGCGATCTTGTCTGGGTCCGTGTGAATACCCTTCTCGCTGACGACGTGCCCTAGATACTTAAGACTCTTCTTAAAGAACACGCACTTTTCTAGGTTTATCTTGAGGTTGGCTCGCCTTAGACGCTGAAACACTTCCGCGAGATGCCGTACATGCTCTCCCAGTGTGGTGCTCGTAACGATTATATCGTCTAAATAAGCGAACGCGTACGGCTCTAGCTCTGGTCCGATGACGTGATCGAGTGCTCTCTGGAAGGTCGCTGGAGCCGGCTGCAGACCAAACGGCATTACCTTCCACTGGAATAATCCGCGTCCGGGTACGGTGAATGCGGTGTATTGTTTGCTGTTCTCCTCCACGGGGACTTGCCAATATCCATTCTTTAGGTCTAGGCTGCTGATGAAGCGGGCGTTTCTTAATCGATCCAAGATATGTTGGATGCGCGGCATCAGCCAGGCATCTGGCACGGACCGAGCATTGAGCTGACGATAGTCGACGCAGAGTCTCCATTTGCCGTTTTTCTTCCTTGCCAGAACTATGGGAGCACTGTATGGGCTATGCGACGGTTCGATGCAGCCCTTTTCTATGAGTTCATCAATCTCCTTGATGATTTCCTGCATCTTTGGGTTCTTGGGAAAATACCGCTGTTTAATGGGTCTACATCTTTCATCACTATCTTGTGCGTCGCATTATTGGATACTCCCGACATCTCCTCGAACTCCTGCAATTCACGTTTAAGGAACTCACTCACCGAAGGATTTATTGCGTTGTCCACTGATGGGGCTGTTGGTTCGGTCCTGGCGGCTTCAGCGGGGTCCTCGTGCTCTTCTTCGATCATAGTCGTACACGTGACTGCTCCTTGCCGTAAATCGTCCGTTTGCAACGTTAATGATTGCTCGCCACACCTTAACTCCAAGTTAGCCTTCGCCAGGTAGTCCGTTCCTATCACTACTCTGTCGGCGAGCCCTGGTAAGACTAGCAGCTCACTCTGGTGCACTTGGTCACCTAACTTTACCTCTGCATATACCGCATCGACTATTATTCTCGCTCTGCCATCGCCCATCACCACTCGTTTTCTTACGTGTCTAAACCTGTCCTTCAGCCTTTTCGCCATTGTCTCGCTTACGAAGCTCCTTGTAGCCCCTGTGTCTATTGCAGCTGTTGCCTCTTCCCCATCCACGGTAACGGCGGCCAAGATTCGGCCATGCGTCTGTTTAAATACGTTTACTGGGCTCGAGGTTGTGTTGTTGGAGACCCCACCCCTCGATACCGATAGGGCCTCATGCTGTTTCCCTACGGATCACGGCAGCAATCACGCGTGCGTATGCCGCATCGACCACATCTCCAGCAAAATTCGATCTGCGCACTACGGCACCCATGAGCGAAGTGCCCACTCACACCGCACCGTCTACATGCTGTCCGGGGGGTCCACGTATCCGTGTAATGGTTTCGGTGAGGCACCTAACATCCCTAATTGCTGTGGGGCTTCTCTCCTCGCTGATTCTTCAACTCTCTCCTCAGCGCGCAAGTATTGGTAGCGTTCCTCATGATGCTGGGGTATGAATGATCTCGCTGTTGGTCTCAGTTGTTCTCTCCCGGGGACGATGTTCTCGAAGTCTTCAGCCAAACTTACCAACCCTTCGAGACTACCGCACTCGCTTCGCTTAACGTACCACTGATACTCTCTGATCCTTACCATCGTCGTACCGGAAACCCCATTTTCTTACTCGGTCCATAGTGGTAGCACGTGATAGTGGCGGGGGGTACTACGTACACCGGTGGCGGTCTATCTTCACGGAGCCTGATCGCCCCCTGTGTGTTTTCGTCCTCACTTGCAATACCTGGAGGTGGCGGTACAATGTTACCTGGTAGTTGTAGTTCGCTGGTCCCCTTGGGTGTTGCCGGGTTCATCAAAGTGGTCGGCCG